AATCAGAAACCTTGCATATATCATTAATGTATAGTATAAATAATTTAGGTCCCAAAACAGAACCTTGAGGCACTCCACATACGATGTCCAGCTCACTCGATTGGTATTCACCCAACTTCACAAATTGACGCCTCTGTTTCAAGTAACTTCTAATCCAATTCAAAACCAATCCCCTGATCCCATATTTTTCTAACTTATCCATTAATAACTCATGATTGATTGTGTCAAATTCTTTTTTAGGTCAATAAATATTCCCATCGTGTATGTCCTCTCATCCATAGCACTTGTTATGTCCTCCATTAGATCAGTAATGGCCAGAGATGTCGATCGGTTCGACCTAAAACCATATTGGCAATCAGAGAGGATTTTATGTCTATCAATAAATGTGTCTAATCTGTTATTAAAGAGTTTTTCCAAGATTTTTGAAAATTGTGACAACAGAGAAACCGGTCTATAATTTGTGAAGTTGTGCTTATCCCCAGATTTATACAGTGGAATAACCTTTGCTATTTTCATATTATTGGGGAACTGCCCAAGTCGAAACGACATGTTAAAACCATGGGTTAATGGTTTGCATATCCCCTCAATTGCCCATTTAACCATTATCATACTGATACCATCACTATCACTGGATGATTTATTACCACATTTGTTCACTATCTTTATAATTTCCTTTTCAACTATGGCCTTCAGAAACATAGAACACATATTCCTTTCAATTGTATGGTGTTTTATAGTTCATGATAATGAATGTCAGTATTTCCAATAGTGTTCAGTTCTGTAACAGATCACTTGCCTCATTCCGTACATGGGTCATGCTTATTGTTGTTGGTTCCAACGCTCATCTGCTGTCGCAGATATCAATCTTCATACATCTGAGGCTCCAGCAACCCCTACATACTCTCCTTGTCTGGGCATCCTTGGCGTGCTGGTCATGGGTCCTGGAGCCTGGTTCCGAGGTGTGGTCACTAGTCGATCATACCGCAGGAACGCAATGTCTCCCCTCTCCCTGGCCTCCCTTAACTTCAGCATCAACTCCCTTCTTCTCTTCCTCACAGACTCGGTGTAATCTTCATTTATATAAATGTTAGATCCTTTAAGCTTCTTTGCTTGTTGCAGTATGTGTGCCTT